ACSCTGCTTTTGTGCAGCCCAGGACACATTTGGCTTCCTGGGCTGCGAGCACACATTGCCAGGTCATGCTGAGCATSTTGTGAAGCACTGGTTTAGAGACAAGGATGTCACATGGAACAGTTACAAATGTTTTGCACAAGTCCAGGTGTATGACATCTATGCACTTCCTCATCCACCAACACTCTAAGCCCATTGTAGAAGGTCACCAAATTTGTCAAGTGTGACAAATTAGCAAAGCCATGTTGGCTGTCTGTCACCCATAACCTCTTTATTATAATCATGCCAGGTACGGTCTTTGGAAAATTTTAGATGACACAGGCCCATGTTCTGGAGCTCCATATTTAGAAAGCTTTACAGAAAAAAAAGGACTTGACACACAAATATAGAAAAAAAAGATAGAAAGAAAATTCTCTTTGTGCTCCTAGAAATTATTCATTCTGCTTTTTTATTGTAGTAAACTATTGAATTCTGTGCACGCCTACATATACAGATAATTATTTATTTAGGGCATGAAAGTTGAACTTTCTTAAGAGAATGACACAAATATTTTGACTAATGTTAAATAACTTAAAATTGTTCACAGATAAACTATTAAATTAATTTTGAAGTGTCCTATTGATGAAGAAATAATTTATTCAAATTAGAAGAAACTACAAAATTTGCAGAGTATCACACCACTTCCTAAACTGCTTAAAATGCAGCTTACTTAATTTTGTACACTTTTGTCCTTGATGATTTTTTTATTTCTATTTTCCTTGGGTGTTATTGTGGTTATCAACAAGAATTGCAAAATATTTTAAGCTCCTGCTTAAAGTAGGTTGAACACACTGCAATGTTAAACAATGAGAGCTGAATAGGAAAGGAATGGGGGAAGGTAATAATATTTTGGTCATCCATGAAAGTTGATTTTGAGAATTTTTGTTAATATTTTTAYACATTAAGAAATTTGAAGGGGAAGATGCAGTAAGAGTGGAAGGCAGTTACCAAACTAAGCCATTTTCTTAAAAGATAACAGGAAGGAAAAAAGTGTTATCTGCCAGCAACAGAAAAGGGTCATTGCCCCAAGAAATCTGATGATACCATATGTACAACACATGGCAGCAAAGCAGTTTCTTCCTGCTTACTCCACGTTGCAATCTATCACAGCCAAGTGCTGACACTGCAGCTTGTATGAAAGGGCATGTAAACATCAAAGAAAGTGTCTTTGCCTTTGAAAAAACCCTTAACGAGTCTACATACAGGGCAGCATTTACACAAATCTATCAGCACAGAATCTTATTGCCTTTCCAATTTAATTAATGGTTAACTTTGTGAMAGAACAAAACCAGGGGGAATGATACAAATGCATCTGATTAGGACTGGTCTTTTTAATTAAGTTGATCTAATTTATGTCTTGATCTGATGAGTTGTTAGAATGTTGGATTCCTTTCCTGGCACACACTAACTGCTCTTATGACCTTTGAACACACTTGCAGAAGTATCAGATGCTGATTCTTAAAAATTGTCTTAACAACTTATTTAACATCCATAGTTTATTAAGATTGACTTTCTCTGGATTTCATCTATTTTCTGGACATAGTAAATGGAACTGAATTCTAAAGATATGAAAGTTACAATGGCTAAATAAATTTTAGTGAAGAAAAGGATTTAAAGATTTAGAATCATTAATAAAAGAAGAGAATCTTGCATCTGATTGTAACTCTTCATGTTTTAAGTTGATCAGAGACTAGCAGACCGTGTAGCATAAAATTCTACATACTATTCATTAACTATTCATCATGATAAAGTAATAAAAATACATAATTATTAATATCTAATACATAATTATTATTTTTTAAAGCATTTATAAACTGAATTGGGTAATTAGATACCTTTTGGTAATTTTTTTCCCTCAGTGATACAATTCAGGTATGGCATTTCAGTCMCTTTTGCTTATCTTCCTTACTCACAAGGCCAAGTTTGTAGTGAGAAAGTGAGTTTGTAGTGAGTTTTATCTTTCATCAGACCAACTGACAGATTAAATAGACAGATTTTGCAGTGTGAAAAAAACCCTTGTGTGTGTAAGTTGAGCTGGTTTTTGCTCCCCAATACCATCAGAGAGCTTAACAAAGATACTTTCTCTCTGACCTTGCCTTAGCTTTTTTCTTAGAGCACTGCAGAGACATTCTCACTCATTAATTATTCACACAAATTATTGAACACCACTAAATGAAGAGAATCCTGTAAATTCATATTTGTATAAATTCATATTAATAAATTCATATTTATTCATATATCATGACTGATAATAATAAAAATAAATTCTTCCTATGTCACTTCTCTTCAGCACTCCTTATTTATTTTTTTCTCTAGGAATATAGTTTCTTCTTCTTAAGCAAGAGATCATTACTACTGCCCATCTGCCACATTCATTCTTGGTGCCACTCCAACARCCTTCAGACCTCATTTTCCCCGGCTGGAACACTCTTCCATATAAAAGAGGAGTATCATGCTCAGCAGGGACTAATTGGTGTCTGCTTTTTAGGTTAATGTCAGTAAATASTCCATTGTATCTCTCTACTCTGACTCTCATATCTCTGTGTTACTCATTCCCTGCCATATGRACTTGGTAGTGGATGTGAGGGGCTGTGAAGTGGGAGGGTGCATGAATTCATGACACAGGTCAGCAGGCAGATATGCATTGAGATCAGTGAGATCAATGACCTGATTTTGAGCACAAACACAAAATCAGGTGAGTTGAATGGCAGGTTGTGGCAAAAAGCCTTGAAGAACACAGAATAGAGGGGCAGAAAGCCACCTAAAACTTTGAGTGGTGCTTTCAGAGCTGGCTCTTTCTGCAATGCAAGCCAGTAATCTCTTCCATCTATGACTCTCCCACCATCACCCTACCATCTTTGGCCCTAATTTCTCATCATTTCTCATCATCCTCTCTAGTTCCTTACTTCTCTCGGATTCTACTTTTTTTTTTTTTTTCTCAGCCCCAATTTCCCTGCTTGTWATCTCTTAGTAATCATCCCAATATCCCCATTGCAAACAGAGTTGAGTGCCCTGTATTTTCTGAGGGCCACCTTTTCTCCTAATTTCTTCTTTTATTTTGAGGGAGAGGTGATGAACTAATTTAGTATTACTTCTCTTCCAACTACCAGAGTTGCCAGCTGGCATCCTGCTTTCCCCCTTCTTTAGAGTGCAGCCAAGAATAGCAGTAAGCTATGGCTCAGGTTTTRTGGGCATTCACATRYAACATACATCCTTAGGCTGTAGGARCTCTAACAGAGCAATTTTTTAATGCTTGACTGTAAATCATGATGGTATTTTTCTTAAAATGCAGGGTCCTGAATGGGGATATTATGATTTGTTTTAAAAAAAGATGTTTCCAGTCTAGAGAAAATGTGAGCCAAATKCATTGCAAGGACAAAGAAGTAAGCAGAATTATTCCAAACTTGTATATTTTTTAAACCAGCATCAGAGGCTGAGGGAGCAGCACTGAAAGATGACTTTAAAATACTTACCTTGGCAATAGTACAGGTTGGTTAAGTTGTTATGCCTTTGCTCAATAATCTGAGCTAGAGAGAGGAGATGCACTATTGTATTAGATTTAGCTGAAACCCAACCAATATTCCACCCTATGAGCAAGATGTACAGCTATTATTTCTTCTGCCATTTCCCAGACCTACATCTTGTTGTTTGGAAGCATGACTAGGTGAATTAAAATAACCCTATTTTTGCTAATGACCACAAACAAATTCTTCAGGCTCAGTTCTCCAAGCTTCTCTGGCACAGCACCCCCCTGGCCCAGCAGCACCCACCTGCTCCCTGGGCTAGGGTGCCATACAGTYACCTGTGTGCCATGGCCGGTGGAGGGAAGGGGACTGGAGTCTGAAGAGATTTGCATGCTCAGATCGTGTCTGTACAAGGAGAAAGGACACCTGTGTAACTTCAGCTGCCTAAGGAATGAGTGGGAATATAATAAAATGGGTGAAGGTTGGAAGGGAACACAGTGAGTCATCTGGTACAACCTCCCTGCTCAAGGAGGGTAATCTCAGAACACATTACACAGGATTGCATCCATATGGCTCTGGAATGCCTCCTGTGAGGGAAACTCCACAACCTCTCTGGRCAATCTGTTCCAGTGCTASGTCACCTGCACAGTTAAGAAGTTCTTCCTTGTATTCAGGTGGAACATCCTGTGCACCAGTTTCTCCCCATTACCTCGTCTTATTGTTCAGCACCACCGAGGAGAGTTTGTCTCCATCCTCTTGGCACCCTCCCTTTAGCTATTTATATGTATTGAATATCCTTGCGCAGAGGCAGCTGTGAAACTTTTACACAGGGAAACTGAAGTTAGTGCAACAGAAACATTAAGAGTGGGGAAAGAGTGTAATTTGGGGGGGGGCTTTAGCCCCACTTTTGCCCTTAGTGAAGACACACACTCTCTAACAGCTTTATATTCTTATACTGAGGTTCCCAAAACGGCACTCAGGATTCAAGGTGAGGCCGCGCCAGTGCGGAGCAGAGTGCGATTGCCACTGTCTCTGCTTGGGACGTTTCGTCTCTCCACTTCTCCCAGGGACCCATGTTCCGGGGCCTGAACGGGGACGAGACCGGGCTGAGCACGGAGCCGCGATGGCAGGATGCAGCGCGAGAAGGGAGCATACGGCTTTTCTTCACTCTTGGGGCAAGTTAACAGCGGGCGCCACTGGGGCCCCGCCCTGCGGCCCGCCCAGCCCCAGCCCCAGCCCCATCCCAGCCCCGGCCCCGGCCCCATCCCAGCCC